TACGGGTGGTGGTGGTGGTGGTGGGGGTGGGGCGGTTCCAAACACTATTTTTTTTAAAGTACTTATGAGAAATAAGTTCTAAAATCATTTTTAAAAAATCATTCAAAACACACCCTTAGGAGCTTATTTTTTTTATTAAATCTGAGGTGTTAATATTAGTCGTCGAATTAATTTTAAAATAAAATTTAAAAAGATCTCAATTGCTAATAACAAAAATTATTTTTTTTATTTTTTAAGATGTAGATGTGAATTTTATGCTAATACTGCAGTTGATGTACTTAGAGTAAGTACTGTGATCATGTCTAATGGATGGTCAACTTGTGTTTTTATTATTTGTACCCATGTACATATGCTGCCGTTTCTTTGACAGTGCATATACACCGGACGATAGCTTCAGAAAGATGCATATCAAACAAGTATTCTGATTAGATAAAACAACGTTCGTACAACTGTACCTGTTTGGATTCAGATTTTATGTCCTCTTGTGAATTGCATGCCCTCGTCACCTCGCGCGTGTGTGTGAATTTCAATTTTTGAAGCATGAAATAATAACTGCTACCCTGGCCTGGTCAAAGTTGTATCATGATCTCAAGTCACTGATTGAGGCACAAACTAAAAATTTCTTGAAATGGTAGCAATTGACTAAATTTGGTGTTCAGTACATTAATTTGAAAGACTAGATAAAAATATATTTAATATTTCAGAGATTAAAATAATATAATTAAAATATTAAGGATCAAAATAAGATAAATCACGTACTTTGATAATATCTAGTAAAATTAACCCAATAAAAATGGGAGAATTAGACTTGGACCTGCTTAAGGTTTGTCACTTCATCACTTAGACTTTTTTATATTTGAAATATTATATACATACTTTTTAAAATTTATGTCCGTGTAACCCTTAGACCTTTGTCGTTAACGACCCTTAGTCGTTAATAAATTACACTCAGACTCCCTAAAATTTTTAGGAGTGTAATATTTAGACTCTTAAGCTTAAATTATTATATTTAGACTAAAAATACTCTAATAAAAGATAGAGTATCAAGTATTTTAAATTTTATGATCAAAATTCATATTCAATTATATACTTATTGAAATAAAATTAGCAATAAAAATTTAAATTTTTCTTAAAAAATTATCATTAGACCATATCCAATGAAAACCCAAACCCCTAATCCAATTTTGAGTTATAATAATGTAAAAATTTTGATTTGATAGAGACTTCTCTAATGAAAAAATTCAAATTTAAAGAAAGAGAAACTTAATTTTNATTTTGATTTGATAGAGACTTCTCTAATGAAAAAATTCAAATTTAAAGAAAGAGAAACTTAATTTTAATTGAGGATAAACTCAAATTTAAAAAAAATAAATAAATAAATATGACTATTGGATCTTTAAAGAAGGGTAAAGTTTGACCATTAAAAATTTAGACATAAATATAATATATTTTATTTTTAATTGGAATAATCTAGCGGTTTAATAGATTTCGTTATTTCTATAACTAATAAGTGGTCTAAAGGGTGATAATTCAATCTGGAGGATCCAAGTGTTACACACTTAAAAATTTTANGTTTAATAGATTTCGTTATTTCTATAACTAATAAGTGGTCTAAAGGGTGATAATTCAATCTGGAGGATCCAAGTGTTACACACTTAAAAATTTTAGAAGGTTTAAGTATAATTTACTAACAGATATGTTGTCAGACATTGACAGTAGGGGTCTAAGTGTTAAGTGCGTATAAATTTTATAGAATTTGTATATAATATTTTAAATATTAGGAGATCTAAGTGATTGAGTAACAAAATTTAGAGGATCTAGATGTAATTATCCCAATAAAAATTCATGACTTATTCTTTGTTTGAGTTTTGCCGAAAATTAGTCAGAGGCAAAATAACTTTAAAGAAATATAGAGCTTTTAACATATTACATAAATAATATTTTGTTAATATTTATAAATTCATGTAAATATATGGGTCAATGCATTTCACATTTGTTTAATGCATTTCAAAACTAAAATATTAAAACATTTCTTTTGTTGAGTTAGGGGGACCAGTGGGCACTAATTTACCAATAAAGAATAAAATCTTGGCACACTACATAAGGGAAAAATTCAGTTTAACCCCCATGTAGGTTGGTCCTTTTGCACATGATCCCCTATTGTTTGGAAATCAACGGATGACTCCCTTATGGTTTTGAACTAAAGTGTTATCGTTACTAATTCCATCCAAATTGACGGAAATTGAAACAAAGGTGCCAAATTCAAGAGTATGGATGAAAAAACTTTAACTCAACGTCAAAATTCATTTTAAAAGTACAAATATATCATTGTCTTTTTTTTCAAGGACAAAATTATCATCTTCTTTCACTACTACTTGAACAAAAAAATAGAAAATATGCAAACAAAAAACCTAGTCTAACCTGACACGTTTGCTCACCCATCTCTCTCTCTCTGTGTGTGTGTGTGTGTCTCTCTCTCTCTATTTCTCTATCTTGTATGAAGCCCTCACCCTCCNCTCTCTGTGTGTGTCTCTCTCTCTATTTCTCTATCTTGTATGAAGCCCTCACCCTCCAACGACCTACACGCCCTATGCCCATCCTCCTCTTCCTCTCATGGTCTAAAGTCCACTCCAATAAATCACTATTCACTTCAACAAAACCAATTTTTCGAACGCAAAACTCTAGGAAAAACATCAACGAACTCACGTTCCCGCAACCCAAATATTCTGTCCAACGCCTATCTTCCTCCTCCTCTCGTGGCCAAAATTAGTTCACTCCGGTGAATCNGTGTGTGTGTGTGTGTCTCTCTCTCTCTATTTCTCTATCTTGTATGAAGCCCTCACCCTCCAACGACCTACACGCCCTATGCCCATCCTCCTCTTCCTCTCATGGTCTAAAGTCCACTCCAATAAATCACTATTCACTTCAACAAAACCAATTTTTCGAACGCAAAACTCTAGGAAAAACATCAACGAACTCACGCTCCCGCAACCCAAATATTCTGTCCAACGCCTATCTTCCTCCTCCTCTCGTGGCCAAAATTAGTTCACTCCGGTGAATCACTAGTTCGCTCCGAGAAACTTTTTCTAGTGAATCACTTTGGCAAAATCAATACAATAGTCATCTGAAATTAGAAATTCAAATCGAATTTGAAATCAAAATCAAGATGGACATGAAAATTGATTTTAATTTTTTGTTTTCATTTCAAAATTGGTCTGCGATTGAATCTATATTTTCATTACCCGCCTTTCTTTAAATTATGTCATGTGACACTTCCTAAGTGAATTTGGGGGTGGCAAGTGTCAATACACCGAATTTTCCTAAGATTTTATATTTAGGCCCAAATAATTGTGAAAGAAGGGGGTGCATCCTAGTGCAAGTAAAACTCTACGAAAGAGAAAACTTTACAAATTTCTACTCTTAACCCAACCTTGTCCCAATATATTGGGGGCAACTACATAAATCCTTTTGCATTATTGTGATCAGAAATTTCACAAATTTCATAGCTCATAATAAAGTATATATAATCACTATCACAAAGAGTACATAAATTTAAGAAACAGATTAAGGTAGCTTGGTGGTAAGTGGCAATAGAGAAATAGTTATCAGAACACCTCATTCAGTTGCTTTTCAAGTTCAAGAACGTTTTCATATGCTTTGTATCTCTGTCGTTCGATATTTGTCAATTTTTTTTGCAACGAACTAATATTGCCTTCTGCATCCTTCAACTCTCTCTCAAGACGCTTCACTTTAGCTCTAAATGTCTGTTGCTCTTTCTTTAAACCGTGTAAGTCCGAGGATATAAGCTACCAAAAACCAAGTGTAAAACAAACACATGGAATGTTAGTAATGTCTCATAATTGCCATTAATGATAAAAGTATGTAAATATCAATTTTGTCAAAGTATTCTAAGTCGTGTATGCATAGACGGACCGTTAAGTTTTTGTCAAAATGATCACATGTTGGGAATGTGATACTGTCTAAAAAATAACATGTAGTCACTTCCGTCTAAAAACTTGACGGATTGTCTGATTAGAGANTTGCATAGACGGACCGTTAAGTTTTTGTTAAAATGATCACATGTTGGGAATGTGATACTATCTAAAAAAATAACATGTAGTCACTTCCGTCTAAAAACTTGACGGATTGTCTGATTAGAGACCAAAATGACATGGATTGTATACTTTATAGACTAAATAAACAAAATTGATACAATGAAGATTAAATTGAAAAAAAATATATACTATTAACCCATGATAAAATTATAAGTTCTTCTTGGTTCTTACTATGATACGATTCTTAATGGCTGCCTTCGACACTTTAACTTCTTCAAAGCGATAGTAACTTCGAAACCATGGTTGTACAACATTATCAATGGTTCGTTTTTCTCTTGCAAATTCAGCCTGTTTTATCTCATTAAGGACCTGTTTCTCCTCTGCTAAACTTCTGCTTCCATGTTGTACCCTATAACTTAAACTCTTGACCTGTGTCCAAAATCCCAGAAAACACCCCCAAAAAACCCAAAATTAAATTATATACCCAAAAAAGGACATGGTTTAAATTAATTTAAAGCTAAAATCTAGTATTACTTTTTCATCAAGGTCCGTTGCTGCCGAAGGTGGACCATTAGGCGTCCTTTTGCTTGATTTCTTTGAACAGCGAAGCTTACTTAGAGTGTGTTGCAGGTAATCTATTTCCATCTGCTTCCAGTTGAGAAAATGCATGGCCTCATACCCACAATATGGTCCCTTCAACTTTGACACCATATCGTCTCCATCCCACTGTTTGAAGATTCAACGGAAAGTTATTTTATTTTGATCTTTAAACTATATAATTTATTTCATTTTATCCCGACACATCAGTAATTATCATAAAAAAAGATAACAGAAGTTTATGATTGGGGCAATGTGAAAAATTCCATAGTTGAGAGAATAAAGTGAAAAAAGAGTCTTAGTGAGTAGGTCAAAGTGTAATTTACTCTTTAACATGTAACCTTACTTTTTCTTCGGCTGCCAAACATAAATCAATAGATGTCCTTCGGCTTGAATTCTTCGAACCGCCTAGCTCTTTTAATACCTCTGTGAGGTATCTTATTTCCGTCTTCTTCCAATTGATAATACGTTCGACACCACTTCCATGTGATGGCCTCTGTAACTGTGAAATGACGTGGTTTCGATCCAACTGTGTTTTGAAGGTTCAAGAGAAAAAAAAAAAAAGGTTTAGAAATCATTCTGTTTTGTTTATTATACAATAACTTCTGCTGTTTTTAATTCAGTAAATTAATGCAACGAGCTTTAATGTTATGTACTGAAACTAATAGCAACCATGATGTCGGTAATCCAAAAAAAAAAAAAAAAATTTATATTTTGACCCCTTAACTATGAACTCAATTTCACTCTGCTAAACTGCTCGAATTTATTTGACATTGCCCCAAATATAAACGTTTGTTTTCTTTACGGTGAAACAAAAAATTTAAAAATATAGTTCAGGGCAATGTGAAACTAAATGTCTGCTATCTTTTGGATAAAAATTGCTAGTGTGTCTGGGGCACGGTGAAACAAAACCTATTGTTCAAGGCATATGAAACTAATAACATTGTTGAAGGTAGAATGTGAAAAATATAGTAATTGAGAGGACAATATGAGAGAAAGATCATAATTGANCCTATTGTTCAAGGCATATGAAACTAATAACATTGTTGAAGTTAGAATGTGAAAAATATAGTAATTGAGAGGACAATATGAGAGAAAGATCATAATTGAGGGGATAAAAGTGTAATTTAATCCATTCAAAAATTACCTTCTTTATCTCTAGTTTTTCCATCATTTCAGATCGAGTTTGATTCTGCTTCTGAATCAACTTCTCACCCTGTTCAATTCTTTCCTTCAAATTCAGGTCATCAATTGGCCCAAGCTTTGTAGAATGAGAATGACTGATCTCTTTATCTTTTAAATAGCTTTTACATCCTTCCTTTTCACCCTTGGGTGTGGCTTCCATGGAATCAGCTTCAACCTCCATATCCCAACGATTTTATCTAATTTTTCCACAATATGAAACAACTTCAACTACTTCATTAGAATTACGGAATATGAGATCAGGTGGAAAAAAAGTACGTCTACTGACAGAAAATTTACAATTTCTGAAAAAGGCTACAAACAAATTTCTTTCAATTCTCTACTGCAAAGCATTCACCTTTGATTGCTAGGAGATCCCATTCATTAAATTACGATGTGCCTCATTTGAATTTATGATAAAAAGTTATCTAAAATTGAAAAAAACCCGCGTTGAAATGGCTTTGAATTTGAAAAATAACTAATCGCAAAATTGATCGTGAAGTACATAATACTAACCTGAGATGCAAAAATCTGACCAGATAACAAAAAGGGAGAGAGAGAGAGAGAGATGGGATTTCTTGGTTGTGGATGCTTGATCTGAATATATAGTTTATATTTCTCCAGATTTAATTAATCTAGAACTGCTGGCACTTGNGATGGGATTTCTTGGTTGTGGATGCTTGACCTGAATATATAGTTTATATTTCTCCAGATTTAATTAATCTAGAACTGCTGGCACTTGCACCCCACGCCAAGTAAGTCAACTTCATCCAGTATACTATAATGTCTTTGAGCAATTACTGCAGCAATCCGGAGCCAGCCGATGCATTGTTCTCAATTTTTTGTTGCAAACAAATTTCTATGCTTGTTTTGATGTAGTTTTAAATTTGTTCCCTCAAAAAAAATTTCTCCTTCATTTTAATTCACTTAATCATCTTACCATTTGGATTAAATTTCTACTCTAATTTCGTAAACTTGTATAATTCGCTTGTTGAATATCCTTGATTTGCTATCGAAAAATTATTTCTGAAACTTTATGTTCTCTCTCTCTCTCTCTCTCTCTCTCTCTGTTATATCTTGTGTCGTCTCTTGCTCTCTCCTACCGTTGTTAATTTAGATGTATTAGAAAAACATCATTAATTATGTTGGCAATGAGATTATTTACAATGATTTTAAATTATAAAAAACTAGTCAAATATTGTATATATAATTTTTACAGTGTATTTTTAATATTTTTTATATATGTAAACAAGTATGTGAGTATACAATATGACACTCTCAAGATGCTAATTTTTTTAATTTTGTCGTTTTTGCATTTACTTTATGTGAACTAGGTCTTATCATGTAAAAATAAATTTATTCATATTTTCTATTAACCTAACATATATATTATTTACATTAACAGAAGTCACGCAACAGTAATTGATTAATCTTGTGTCGGTTTAGTACAAATTTGTAACATGTCAACCTTTTACTAGGACTGTAAAAATACAATACGACCCGATTATTTGACACAAATCAAAACGAAATTTGCAAGTTTGGATTTAATATTAATGGGTTCAAGTACTAATCGGATGGACCCATCAGACTTGCCTTGTTATGCGGGACGTGTTCGTCGTTCGAGTTAAGTATATCAACCAATTTATCCATTTTAATTTTAAATAGGTATACATATGAATTGGGCTTAGAACTTAGTTTTAATTTTAGAAGCCCATAATCCATTCTAGCCCAGCCCATCACTAGCCAACCCTTCTGTTCATGTGACTAATTTTCAATTAGGTTGGACTTCATACTAATGAATGTAACAGATGTAAATGTGCAATGGACATGATTTTATGTTGGTAGATAGAATTTAGCTATATAATGTGATTGTTTATCTAAAATTGTGTGATAAATTATCAAATGAGTTAAACGGGTCTTTACTTATGGCGGGTGGAAGGGTACCAAAAACGATCCATTTATTGGCAGGTTATATGGGTCATGTCGGGATAACCCATCAAATTAGTGTGATTTCCACATATTTAATAACACACTTCGTGTACGAGTTAAGTAATTTTTAATACGAACTCGTCAAATAAGTGGATCATGTTGGGGCAACCCTCAAATAAGTGTGTTTTTCACATGTTTAATAAACCTTTGGTTTTTAACATGAACTCATTTAATTTGACGCAAATCCATTTAATTCGACACGTTTGACAAGTTTAATTATTATATCGAGAAAATAGAAATAAATTATTTGAGTAAACAAAATAAATCGCCCTCGGACCAGTGTTTTAAAACTCGGCCCGGTCCGACAGATCGATTCGGTGAACCGGTTCCCGGGCCGGTTTTATTAAAAAATCATGGGTTAATCTCATTTTGCACCCCAAAAGATTGTTCGAATCTTAATTTGTACCCTCAAAGATTAAAAATCTCAATTTACACCCTCAAAGATAGAAATTTGTATCAATGTGCACCCCCAAAGATCAAAAATCTCAATTTACACCCTCAAAGATAAAAATTTATATCAATGTGCACCCCAAAGATAAAAAATCTCAATTTGCACCCTCAAAAATAGGAATTTGTACCAATGTGAACCTAAAACTAAATTGATAAATTATACCTAGATCCCCTCATACTTGTCACTTAATCATTTAGACCTCTTCACATTTAGAATATTACTCCTACATCTTATGACATTTGTGCACGTATAACACGTAACCCATTTTCATTGATATCTATTAATATAACCGTTAAAAAATATAATTTTATCCTAATAAAAAATTATAATTTCATATTACCCTTTATTTTATAGGTTCAATATATTCTAAAGTTCAAAATCTAGTTTACCATTTGAATGTCTAATAAAATATAAATATTTATATAATATTTTTCATATTACCTTTTATATAAATATCTACATTTTATTAGACATTCAAATGGTAAG